TGGGGCTGGGTCTAGCAGGACCCACAGGTGTCCCACAGCTTCTTGCTGTAGCGGGGCAAGAGGTAAGGGCTGCAGGCGGGAGAAGCGTAGGGTCTGCCAAAGGTGCAGAGGCCCCCCGAGCCCAGCGTGGCCCCGGCACCGTAGAGGCCCCCCAGCCCCAGGGAGCCCCCAAAGGCGGGTGCTCCGGAGGAGCCCACCACGGCTTGCTGGGGGAAGGAGCTGAGGATGGGGCCGGGGAAGGTGACGACGACGGGGGGCGGCTGGATGAAGGCCGTTGAGTCGGGGCACTGCCGGGCGCACAGCTCGTTGCAGCTGTCAGCGATGGGCTGCGGGACGGCGACGCTGGTTTTCGGTGGGCACAGGTCGTAGCAAGACATCTTGCAGGGGTGGAGATCTGTTTGCCACTGATAGAGATGGAAAAGACTAACACAAAGGAATAAGGTTTATGAGATAAATTTCAAAATGCTGAGATGAGCAAAATTATGATGTTGTTCTTTCCTGTGCTCTAGCATATGTTTTATGTGCAGCCTTGATCAACTTGATTAACACTAGCTGAGCACCTGGATTCAGACTTTCTAACTTTATTAAGTCTACCCCAGGAATGACCAGACCCCACAGATGGATCTTTCTTCTGGCCTTGCATGGATGTGTCTTACGCTTCCTGCAAACACATACCCTGAAGAACAATGTGAGAACTTCAGTCTCATCTACCACAGAGTTCCCCAAAGTGGGGAAACAGACCCAAGTTAGATGTGGCATTGCTTGAAATAGGAGGGTTTATTTATGTCTCCCAGAATGCCACTGAACACAGCTGAAAATGTGGCCATCTTATACATTTATCTTAAATTTTATAAAATATTAAAATAATTATCTGAAATAACAGCATTTTCATCTGTGATTTTTAAGCTTCTAATTGGCTTAGAACACTGAAAACAATTTCTCAGAGTTTCTGCACTCACACTGAGCCTCCCAAATCCTGCATTTACTACTGCTTTCACTAAGAGTAGTTACACACAGAAACAATCTAATGCTGCTCAAAATCTGAGCATACCTATAGGAATCTTCTGCATCTACTCTGATACAGGTTCCGATTAAGTATATAGAAAGAAATAAAAAAAATAATACTCACTAAGCTCACCAAGGCGAATAAGCCAAACGAAGTATCTGGACGAACTCAGGGGCTGGAGCTTATATAGAGTTTCTCAGCATTCCTGTAGGATTTGAAACTCGCTTGGTGCTGGGGGTTGCGTTTGGCTGCCTAACAGAAATTGTTTAATAGCTTTGAGTGATGAAAGTTTTGTGTTTGTCGTGGTTATGATTTTATTCAAATTCTCATACCGTGTGATGTCCATGTTACACCATCATGATTTCTTTAATCTTGGGTCTTAATTGGCTAGTGTAATTCCTGGTATCATTATAGTGACCTCACTGGAATTACCATGTGCATTAAGCTGACTCCACATGTTACTTCTCCCTTTACAAAGTCGCCATAAGCTTGTCTGCTCAGACATTTCATAAGACTCATCATTGGCTGACGTGTACATTTTTTCTTAACAGTCTTTTAAATGTATCTGGTAAATTAATTGGAGACAGAGTGCAGCTTATCCTAGGACTACCCAGGAATTTGTCTTTTCCATCCCTAAATTAAATAAACCTCATTGACCTAAGATGGATTTCAAGTGGTCATGAATATCAGCTGAGATCATACAATACACATGCCAATTCCCCAACAGCTTTTAATTGAGAAGAACAGTCTTTTGAGTGGCAACTCAACCCTATGTAAAAATCATTTTGTTTCACCAGAAGAGTTTAACTGGGAACTGAAATTCAGCTTTAAAGGGGCCCATGGTTCTGCTGACAGTGAATTGAGCTAGGAAGTCAAAGAAGTCACCATCCAGAAATGTATGAAATCCCATCCCTGCCTATGATTCACCAAAACAGGTACAGTTTTGAGGAAAAATCAAAGAAGCAGATAAAGATTTTTTTGTTAGATGTTGTGGGCGTTAACTCTTATCAAGTATGTTCTGGGGCTTCTTGAGAAAAAAGTACTTTGTAATAATTTCACAAACATTCATTAGTTGGTGTTCAACCCAGCTAATGTGTGGTGTTGTGTTAATGTATGAAAATGCGTGAGCGATTTAGACGCTTCAGTGTTACACAATCACATTTGCTTTAATGTACAGGAAACAAGGTGGTGCACGCCATTACTTTAATTAAATCATGATCTGTGCCATTGGAAGTCGTGGGTCAATATTAATGTAGCTTTTCTTTTCTTTCATTAAAAAAAAAATCCTTTCAACATTCTTGGTCCATTCCTCTGTTAGCGTAAGATGTCACATTTGCTGTATATCAGGTGAAAATGTCATTATTTCAAACTATACTTTCCAGAAAAAATTCTACATACATTTGTGATCATTTATGCTTTTTCTGTGCTTTTTCAGAGGACAGTCAGTATCTTTTATTCTAACTTTTTGGTTTTTACCCATGTCCAAGGCATTTTACAGACCCTTCTTATTGTCATCCCTGCGAAGACCCCCAGAGCTGAAATATCTGGTCTTAAATCCTGCAATGCCTAAGCTGAGTATTTCTTGTTGTGATACAGCTTCACCCCGATATTTTCCTTTTCTCTTCAGGTGATGAAGGAATTCTGTTTAGATTTCTGGTTTTATTTTTTTATTCTGGCATGTATTGTTGTGGTTTGGGAGGAGCTGTGGCTGGGAGGAAAGTGGAAGCAACAGCTGGCTAAAGTGATTGTTTGCCCAACAAAAACTGCCCTGTATTTATTGCAGGGGAAGACAAAAACACTCTCCAGGTGTAGAAAGTGAATTACTGCAATCCACATCTCCCAGCTTGGGGGTGACTTCCTTGCCCAGATTTACATTTTATCGCAAAGTCTGCAAGTCAGAGCAAGTTGTGCCTCATTACTCTGTCTCAGGGCAACAAACCCTCTCCACATCAAAGTCCTCTATTTCCTCTCTCCACTTGATAGCATTACTTTTTGTATTTAATAATATTGTGATTTAAATGCTTTCCGAATTACAAAATGTCTTTTGGGGGTTCCTGTGGGGAAAAAAGTGCTTATTGCAGATTTTCTCAAGCAACTTAGGAACAAGGGATATCAAAGAACTTTAGAAACACTGACTAATGATTTATGCATGACGTTTTGTTGTTATAATGTGACTTGCATGTCCCAATGATGAGTAATAACATCAGTCTAAACCGGGAGCCACTGTCAGTCGTATCACTCGCCTAATCAGATTGCGGTTCATAGCCGCTGGGCCTGGCCAGCTCTGTCCCTGCCCTACTTTCCCTTTTGTGTCATCCAGGGTAGTCTGCTCCTTTCACAGCGTGTCTACGCTGTCTTCAGCCGGAGCCTGGTGGACTGCGATAAAAACTTCCTTGTTCTTTCCAGTGTCTCCCTAGAACTTTAAGCAACCAGAAAAAGTGGAGTTGAAAAGCTGGATGTTAAAGACAGGAGATGAAGAGTTGAAAGGTGGTATTTTCAAAATTAATCATAATTTCTGCATTTTCAATGAAAGAGAGGAGTATTTCACTGGTCTGGAGATATATTAGTGTCTTAAAGTACCTCTTAAAACTAGAGAAGTGTGACAAAATTTATCATAGGAGAGAATTTAGAATGTATTTTCATGGAAGATAAAGAAAGTGAATAGTAACAGCATCAACCAGGGAAAATTCATTATGTATTTTAAAATATATTGATAATCATATGCTAATGAATGTCAACTAAGCAAAAGAGACAAGAAAAAAAAAACTTACAGGAGTAAGGTGCAGGAGATAATCTTTGAAGTTAAAGAAAAAACTTAAGAGAAAGAAAATACGTACAGGATGGAAACAGCTATTTTTAACCTTTAACTTTGTTGCTCTCTCCAGTAAATGTATACTAAATTGGCCATGAATGAAAAGTACTACTCAAAATAATCAATAGAAGAAAAAATATAACAAACAGGAATGTACAACATCATTGAAAGGAAACAGAGAATATGGATCATGGCAGTGGAGCAGAACGTCACCTGTATTATAAAGAGTATAAAGTCAGGTGAATCCTCAAAAATGTTTAGAATAAAAAAGAATTAAAAAAACACTACAGATGTGATGCATAAAAGATTTATTGGAAATACATGTTGAATAAATCAGACAGAGTATACAAAACAAAACATAGGAAGACAAGAGGAACAACAAGAAATGAAAATATGAAGCTAAAAAAGTCCACTCTTACAGTTGTCAAGATTAAATAATAAACAACAGATAAATAAGTAGAATATTTTCCAAAAGGTTCACGACATAAACAATAAAGATAATTATAGAGTGAAAGAACTCTGAAAATGTAAAACAAAAAATATACAAAACAGCATATTAGGGAAGAGATCAGTGAAACTGGAGTCAAAGTAAATAATTAAGACCAACAGAATAAAAGATTTATAGAAAATATTAAAGGCTGTAAAATTTGGGATCACAAGCTTCTCCTAAGATTTGCCATTCCTGACGCATATGAAGGCTCTGGGGCTGGGTCTAGCAGGACCCACAGGT